CCTGAGGCTTGCTTTCTCACTTTCTCTCTCTTTCTCTCGTGAGTACGTGTGCCCTATGGCAAATTAAAAACCAATAATAAATAAATAAATAAATAATTCTAAAAAAATTTCACATCAATCAATCTAACCTAAGTTTGACAAGCTAGATAAAGAAGATAAAATTAAACCCAAAGCCCCCCCCCCAAAAAAAAAAGAGAAAAACTGGAGTGTAGATAGATGAAATAGAGCATAGAAAAATAATACAATCAACAAAATCAAAAGTTGGTTCTCTGAAAACATCAACAAAATGGGAAATGGGGGCCAGTAGGTGGCACAGTGGTTACGGCACTGGACTCCCACATAGTTGTCTGCAGTTCGAGTCCCAGACCCAGTGACTTGAAACTTATGCTGGCCACATGTGTATGCGTTCTCAAAATCCCAAGAGGAGAATGGAGGAGAAGAGCTTATGGCATGGCCATCCCCCAGGAGGTGATTTCTTGCTTTCTGTCTCTCTGGTGCGAGCACACGCCCTATAGGAAAAATCTCTCTGCCCCTAACACACACACACACACAAACCAAAACAAAACAAAACAAACCTTGCACTAATAAGTACATTTAGCAAAGCTGCAGAGTCTAAGATCAACATGCAAGCAATTAACAATCTAAAAAGGAATTCAGAAAGCAATTCTTTATAATATACACAAGAAGAATAAAATACCTAATCATAAATATAACCAAGGTGGTTAAAGATTTGTTCACTGAAACTACAAAATATTCCTGAAAGAAATTAATGAATAAATAAATGGAAAGGCATGGCGTATTCATGGATTGAATGTAAGACTTAATATTGTTATGATGACAATACTACTCAAGGTGTTTTGCAGGTTTAATATCGTTATGATGACAATACTACTCAAGGTGATTTACAGGTTTTAAATCCCAAAAGGCTTTATTGCAAAAATGAAAAATTTGATCTTCAAATTCACTGCAAAAGGTCTGGGGGACCAGCAGTTGGCATAATGGCTATGTCACTGGACTGCCATGTAGTCGACCACAGCTCAAGTCCCAGACCTGGTGGCTTAAACTCACACCGGGCACATGTGCGTGCATGCCCAAGATCCTGAGAGGAGAATGGAGAAGAAGGGATTGCGGTGTGGCCGTCCTCCCTGTACAAAAGTAAAGTAATCAACATAGTGTGGTACTGGCATAAAGATAGACACACAGATCAATGGAATAGAATTTAGGGTTCATAAAACAAAACAAAACAAACCTAATACATATATGGCTTATTGCTTTTTGACAAGGGTGCCAAGACCACTTAATGGAAAAAGAAGAGTCTCTTCAACAATTAGTGCCTGGGACAACTGCATATCCATATGCAAAGATTAATGTTTGGCCTCACCTCACACCATAAATAGAAACGAATTCAAAATGACTCATAGACCTAAAAGTAAGAGCTAAAACTATAAAGTTCTTCAAAGAAAACATAAGGGTAAATTTTCATAACCTTGGATTTAGCAATGGATTCTTAGATATAACATCAAAAGCACAAGCAATCAAAGGAATAAAAGTAGATAAACTAGACTTCATGTAACTTTAAAACTTTTGGGCTAGTCCCATAGCTTAGTGGTTAAAGATATCTCACATGGCTCATCACACTTAGGATCCCAGCCTGGTGGCTTGTAAAACACACCAGGTTCATATTCACGCATGTCCCAAATCCCAACAGGCTAGAGAAATGGAGGAGAAGTGATTGTGATGTGACCATGCCCTATTGGACAGTGTTTTATCTTTCTCTCTCTCTCTTTCTCTCTGTCTCTCTTTGGTGAATGCACATACCCTCTGGTAATTAAAAAAAAGTTAAAACTTTTATGCCTTAAAGTGAAAAGACAACCTACAGAATGGGAGAAAATATTTTCAAATCATATATCTGATAAGAAACATATCCAGAAAGAATAACTCAATAATAAAAAGATAGCCTGATTTTAACAGGCAAAGGATCTGCATAGATATTTCTACAAAGAAGATATACAAATGGCAATAAGCACATGAAAAGCCCTTCTATATCATCTGTCATTAGGAAAATACAAATCAAAACCACAATGAGATATCATTTTATACACACTAGAATGGCTACAATAAAAATAAAAATAAAGGGCCAGCAAGTGGTGTAGAGTTTAAGACACTGGATCCCACATGGCTAGCTGACTGCAAGGTTTGAGTCCTGGACCCAGTGACCTCTATAAATAAATAAATAAATAAATAATTTAATTTAAAAATTTAAAAAAATTTAAAAATTTAAAATACAAGTGTTGGAGGCCCAGCAGATGGCATAATGACTACATCACTGGACTCCCATGTGGCTGACCATAGTTTAAGTCCTAGACTCGGCAGCCTGAAACTCACGCTGGGCATGTGTGCGTGCATGCCCAAAATCCTGAGAAAAAAATGGAGGAGAAGGGATTGCAACATGGTCATCCCCCCGGGAAATGAGAAAGTGATTTCTCACTTTCTGTCTCTCTTTCTCTCCAGTAAGCGCACACACCCTATAAAAAAAAATCTCTAAAAAAAAATTACAAGTGTTGGGGGCAGCATGTGGCATGCTAATTAAGATGCTGGACTCCCACATGGCTGACTGTGGTTTGAGTTCCAGAACTGACAGCTTGTTTTTCTCACTTTCTTTCTCTCTTGCTCTCTATCTCTTCCTGGTGAGTGCATGTGCCCTATAGCAAATTTAAATAATAATAATAATGATAATGAATGAAATATATAAATAATTCTTTAAAAAGTGTTGGCAAAAAAAATAAAGAAATTGGAACCCTTATACATTGCTAGTGGAAATGTAAAATGGTATAGCCATTGTGGAAAACAGTTTAGCAGTTACTAGAAAAGTTAAAAAAGAGTTCCATATGACTCTGCAATTCTACTCCTAGCTATATACCCAAGAGAATTGAGGGCATGTGTGCTGTACAAAAATTTGTACATGAATGCTCATGGCAGCACTATTCATAATGGCCAAAAGATAGAAACAATCCAAATGTTTATCTATTGATAAACTGTTAAACAAAATGAGGCATACAATGGGATATTACTCAGTCATAAAGAGAAATGAATTAATGGCACATGCTGATGTGGATGAATTTTTTCCTAGAGATTTTTGCTATAGGGTGCATGCACTCACCTGAGAGACAGAGAGAAACAGAGAGACAGAAAGTGAGAAATCCCCCCCCAGGGGGGATAGCCATGCCAAAGTCCCTTCTCCTCCATTCTTCTTTTGGAATTTTGGGCACGCACACACATGTACCTGGCATGAGTTTCAAGCCACCAGGTCTGGGACTCAAATCATGGTCAGCCATGTGGGAGTTCAGTGTTCCAACCACTATGCCACCTGCTGGCCCTCACATGGATAAAACTTAAAAAGACTAGGCTAGGCTACATATTATAAAATTTCATTTATATGAAATATCCAGAATAGTTACTGAGGGCCAACTGTACTGGTGATGGTTCCACAACCTTGTGAATATACTAAAAAATCACTAAATTGTACACTTTATAGTGGTGAATTTTATGGTATGTGAACTACAGCTCAGTGAAAGAAAAGGAAATGATGTAAGCCTATACTCGATTGAGAGAAATTTGCTATGTTTCTGAGGAGACTACTTTTTAACAGGTTAAACAAAACAGAGGGTAAGTCTCACATAAGGTAAAACATTTTCCCAAGGAAAAGCATTTCTCCTATAGTATTTTCATTCACTCATCCAACAAACATTGAGCATCTGGCATGTACAAAAATCAGGGCAACTTTTGTTTCTACTTGCCTGTTGTTGTTTGAAGGCCTCGAGAAGTAAATCGATATCAGTGTAAGTAAGAGGAAACTGCAGTCGAGGACCATCATAGGAGTCTGGGATGTCTATTAACCCCACGTAATCCTCTCTATCCTTGATATCCTGGAGGGTGTTTTCAAAAAGTTGATTTACTGATTCTGGAAGAGGAATGACAAAGGGTAGGGGGGATAGGAGTAGAAATCAACATTGTAATACTTACAATTAGTAAGTGTCTTCTTGAATACCTAGCCCATGTAAGGTATTGTGCTAAATGTTATGAATACCAAGATATCACACATAACCATGAAGAATAGTTGATTCTGAGACCAGTAGGCACATTCACATGGATCACCATCATTCCTTCCTAGGTTGATGATTTACCACAGCAATGCATC